TAGAAGGAAATTAGTCGTAGTTGTAGCAATAGCGTTGTCAGCTAACATGTACTGAGAGCCACGTTAAGTGTCAGGATTTATTCTAGGTGCTTTATAAATTTCTCTAATTCCCTCCACAACTGTATTCGTTTTCTCACCATTGTTTTTTTGTTGTTGTTGTTGTTGTTTTGTTTTTTTTAAATAAGAAAACTGAGGTGAGTGGAGCATAAGTGATTTGTCTAGGTCACATAGTAAATACAACCAAGTGTTAAACTCAGGCTTTTGGATTCCAGAGTGTGCTTTCTAACCATTTTGCTGTGATACCTCTCCACTGCTATATAGCCTCCCTGAGAAATGGCATCTCATCACATTTTACACTTTTCATGATTTTTCACTGAATGGAAACATGCTGTTTAATTATAGGCCACTTCCTGTTGAAGGGTAGTGAGGACCTTACAATCATCTAAATAGATTTTTTAGTAATAACTGGGAACTATTTGCAGAATATAGAGAAAGGAGTAAAGAGGCTATATTGAGCACATACATAGCTAAATATACACTAGTATGTATATATTCCTGCATAAAACTTACACAAATAACATGCTCATAATTTTTAGGTACTTGAAAATATGGATAACCCCAGAATAAACTATGTGTATTCTTTCTAGGTATTTTTTATTTTGTGTCTTCTTTTCTGAATGTTGTGCAAGGTGTTAACTCATACCACCTCTAAAATTTTAGAATGAGGGGCACCTGGGTGGCCTAGTCAAGTGCCTGCCTTTAGCTCAGGTCATGATCTTGGAGTCCTGGGATCAAGCCCAGCACTGGGAATCCCTTGCTCAGTGGGGACTCTGCTTCTCCCTCTCCCTCTGCCCCTCCCCCTGCTTGTATACAGACCTCTCTCTCTCTCTCTCTCTCTCTCTCTCTCTCTTTCTCTGCACTCTTTCTCTCTCAAATACATAAATCTTTAAAAAAAAACATTTTTTAGAATGAAATAATTTCCCTTGAGTGCAAGTAAACGGCATTTCCCTCCTCTCAAGAAGCTGAACTAATAATTACTGTCTGACTTGCCAGAAATGAATGTTTAACTAAATTATCTCTGTATTCTTTATATGATCCTTTTATTTTTTACAATCTTTTAAAAATAAAAGTAGATAGGATACCTTGGTGGTTCAGTGGGTTAAGTGTCTGCCCTTGGCTCAGGTCATGATCTCAGGGTCCTGGGATCGAGCCCATCCCCGTTGAGACCCAAGTTGAGCTTTCTGCTCTCTCGTTCTTACTCTCATAAATAAAATCTTTAAAGATAAATAAATAAAAGTAGAAGAGGGCCCTGGATTTTTCTCTTAATCTCCATATTGAACCAGTTCTTTCAGCCAATGTTTGCTTTAACACTAATCTACCTCTGTTCCTGTCCTTGCTTTAACACTGCTACAGCTAGAATTTTCTTATAATACTTGGAGGAATAATATCTTATAATCAGTCATCCTTTCTCTAGATCTGCCATTTCAGATCCATCTGTAACCTATGTATCTGATCATGTCATTCTTCTCTACAGAATTCATTAGTGGCTTTTTTTTATTGCCTATAGGCCCTGGAAGCAGGCTTGGTGATGATTGGGGCAGGAATTTCCAAGGTCCCATTCCAAGGTGAATGGGTCCAAAAGGGGAGTTGGAGATGTTTGTAGGCTCCAGGTGACCACATCCCCTTGACTCTGCTGACTCCACATAATGGGACCCTCTAAAGTCTCAGGTCTGGGCCCTGGTGTCTGGGTTTAAAGGCAGCGTGTGCTGTTGCTGTGTGAACTTTTGGTGGCAGCAAGAATCAAAGCAGGGAGAACATTTAAGAAGCCTTATTGCAGTCATCCCGGTGAGACTTAATGGAGCTTGGATCAGAGTGAGAGCAGTGGAGGTAATACGTAGTCAGTTTCTAGATATATTTTGAAGATAAAGCCAACCAATTTTCCTGAAGGACTGATGTGGCGAGAGAGAAAGAGGAGTCAAGAATGAGATATTTAGCTTCAGTACCTGCAAGGATTTAGTATAATGGAGCATATCATTCACTGATGTCTTAATTTTGCCATTAGCAACTATTGTTGAATGCCAGCAGTTCTAATAAAATACTGTATTTGTACAGGTTTTCGACCACAGGAAATTTTGGAGGACGAGAAATAAATTTAAAATGTGTGCTTGAAATGTGTGTACATGTGAGGGTTAAGACTGGTCAGCCTTACGTCCCTATTCAGATACAGCCTACATCTAAAAAAGTTAAGAAGTGGAGGGAGAGGCGCTGTCTGACTGCTAGGAAATTGTACCAAAAAAAGAGGTGGGAAGGAACCAAGTATCAGCTTTACCTTTGCGGCTTTCTTAGGTCCCAGGAGGTGGCACCTGCAAGTACCATTGAAATTCATATTGTCTTGTTGCCCTAAAAAATTTAGAGCATCAGTCATGCTCCATAAAATGTTCTGAGTGTTTTGTAACTAGGTCCCGATCTGTGACCTGAAACTTGTGTTCAATTTGTGTTAAATCAATGAAGAAAAAAATTTTTAAGATATTTTATTTATTTATTTGAGAGAGAGCACATATGCAGGAGCATGAGTACAGGGAGGGGCCGAGGGAGGAGAAGCAGACACCCTGCTGAGCAGGCAGCCTGACACGGGCTTAATCTCAGGACCCAGGGATCATCACCTGAGCTGAAGACAGACGCTTAACCAATTAAGGCACCCAGGCACTCCAATAAAGTATTTTGTGACCCCTACTTTTTAACTAGATTACTATTTTTATTTTTATTTTCTATTTTTAAAGATTTTATTTGAAGTGATCTCTTAACCCAGCATGGGCCTCAAATTCACAACCCAGAGATCAAGTTGCACGCTTCATCCACTGAGCCAGCCAGGTGCCCCTATTTTTAGATAGTTGTAGCAAAAAGTATTTGTGACTCTATTATGATAAAGAAACACGTTTCTGGGTCAAAGCCATATAGGTTTTGTTCATTTTGTTTTGTTTTATTGGGGTGGGGTTTTGTTTTTGTTTTTAGAATACACTTCTAACTTCAGATAGTGTGTAGGCCCACCAGAATATAAAAATTTATTATATTGCCATCCAGTTCATATTCTTCCTTTTTTCTTTTTTCTTTTGCTTACTTATCCTTGCACAGTCCTGAGATGCTATTCAAACACAAAAGCATTCTCCTCTTCTATCTCTCTGCTCGCCTCAGGTAAACTGTCAAGTCTGTCAAATTCAAAATATGTTATAGAGCCATGAATTGAAGGTCATTATTGATTTACTGGTGGAAAGCTAAATTTAAAATGGTAATTAGGTAGAATACTGTGATTTATTTAAATAAATAGATGTTCATTATAGCTACCATTTATTGGGTGTTTACTGTGTGTTAGACAAATATTTTATATTATCTCCGTTCTTCATTGAAGTTGGTATGAGTTTTCCCTGTTTTACAGAAGAATTTTAAAGACGTTAAAATATTTGCTCAAATCAGACATATAAACAGTATGTAGCAGAGGTAGAATTCTTACCTCTAAGTTTTTGTTTCAGATCTCATGCTTTTAACTATGGTTATGCTTTAAAAACTCTGTGGATAGGGCTCTCAGAATGTAGATATTTGTGAGATATATTTGAGTCTTGCCAGCCCCAATTTTTAAGAAACAGAATGTAATTTTGTAAACAGCCCTTGACTGTTGGGTAAAAGGATAGATCTTTTTCTAGTTCATTGAAAAGGGGTCATTACCCATTCTTTACCAGTAGATGGTGGCAGAAAATTTTTTTTAAATTATAAAGTTTTTTTTTTTTTTTAAGATTATTTATTTATTTGACAGGGGTGGGGCACAAGCAGTGGGGAGTGGGAAAGGGAGAAGCAGGTTTCCCGCCCAGCAGGGAGTCCAACGCAAGAACTCAGTCCCAGGACCGTGGGACCACAACTCGAGCCAAAGACAGACACCTAACAACTAAGCCCCCCAGACACTCGTTTTTAAAGAAAGTAAAGTGAAGTGTGTGTTCTTTCAGAGCAAGGCAGATGAGAGATTAACAGACCTCTAGAGCAAGGGAATGGTGGGAACTGCCTATGGTATTATGACAGGCAGCCCAGAAATTGGGAGGAGATGAAGCAAATTTATAAAATTCTTCTTTTTTTTTAAATTATTTACTTATTTATTTGACAGACAGAGATCACAAACAGGCAGAGGCAGGAGAGGGGGGCGGGGAAGCAGGCTTCCTGCCGAGCAGAGAGCCCCATGGGGGGCTCGATCCCAAGACCCTGGGATCATGACCTGAGCCGAAGGAAAAGGCTTAACCCACTGAGCCACCCAGGTGCCCCTATAAAATTATTCTTGAAGGGCACCTGGGTGACTCAGATGATTAAGCCTCTGCCTTTGGCTCTGGTCATGATCTCCAGGTCCTGGGATCAGGACCCCCTGCTCAGTGGGGAGTCTGCTTCTCCCTCTGCTTCTCCCCTGCACTTGTGTAAAAAAAAATATTGTGTAAAAAAATATTGTGTAAAAAAATATATTGTGTAAAAAATACTTTTATTTTTTAAATAATTTTTAAAATTTTTTATAAACATATAATGTATTATTAGCTCCAGGGGTACAGGTCTGTGAATCGCCAGGTTTACACACTTCACAGCACTCACCATAGCAAATACCCTCCTCAATGTCCATAACCCCACCACTTTCTCCCTCTGTCTCTTTTTTAAAAAGATTTTGTTTATTTTATTTTTGTGAAAGAGAGAGAGTGCCGTGCACATGTGAGTGGGGGGAGGGGCAAAGGAAGAAACAGACTCCTTGCCAAGCAGGGAGCCCTATTTTGAGGGACTCAATCCCAGGACCCTAGGATCGTGACCCGAGCCTAAGGCAAACGCTTAATGGACTGAACCACCCAGGCGCCCCCTTTTCTCTCTCTGAGATGAATAATGAACAAATCAAATCTTAAAACATAGATAAAATAATTTTGGTAAAATACCTTATAAAAATATTGGCTCTTTTATTTAAAAAATGGTATTATTCTGCTTAGTTTTCAGATGCTTCAGGTATCGTGAACAGAGACTTGTTTGGATTATGCATTTCTCAGCTAGACTAAATAAATGTTAACAATGGATAAGTGCAAACATATTGGGCAGTTGCGGCTTGCTCAAGACCATTCCATCCTCAACCCTCAGAAGTGGCATTGTGTGGACTGCAATACAACTGAGTCGATTTGGGCTTGCCTTAGCTGTTCTCATGTTGCCTGTGGAAGATACATTGAAGAACATGCACTCAAGCACTTTCAAGAAAGCAGTCATCCTGTAGCGCTGGAGGTGAATGAGATGTATGTTTTTTGTTACCTTTGTGATGATTATGTTCTTAATGATAATGCAACTGGAGACATGAAGTTACTACGAAGTATGTTAAGTGCAATCAAAAGTCAAAATTATCAGTGCACCACTCGTAGTGGAAGGGTTTTGCGGTCTATGGGTACGAGTGATGATAATTACTACTTACAGGATGGCACCCGATCTCTGCTTCAAAATGAAGATCAAATGTATACTGCTCTTTGGCACAGGAGAAGGATATTAATGAGTAAAATCTTTCGAACTTGGTTTGAGCAATCACCCATTGGAAGAAAACGGCAAGAGGAACAATTTCAGGAAAAAATAGCAAAAAGAGAAGTAAGGAAAAGACGACAAGAATTAGAGTTTCAAGTTAAAGCAGAACTGGAAACTATACCTCCTAGAAAGAGTTTACGTTTGCAAGGTCTAGCTCAGTCTACCACAGTAGAAATCGTTCCTGTTCAAGTTTCACCACAAACCCCAGCATCACCAGCAAAAGATAAAATAGTATCTACCTCAGAAGATGTAAGATTAAAAAAAGCCAGTGACGACTCAGGTAAAAGAAGACCAATAGTAACCCCTGGTGTAACGGGATTGAGAAATTTGGGAAATACTTGCTATATGAATTCTGTTCTTCAAGTGTTGAGTCATTTACTTATTTTTCGGCAATGTTTTTTAAAACTTGATCTGAACCGATGGCTGGCTGTGACAGCTAGTGATAAGACAAGATCACCTTATAAGCACCCACCAATCACAGATACAGTATATCAAATGAATGAATGCCAAGAAAAAGATACAGGCAGTGCTCCCTCCAGACATCCAAGTTTGTCATTAGGACTAAGTGGTGGAGCGCCAAAGAGTAGAAAGATGGAACTTATTCAGCCAAGGGAGCCAAGTTCCCAGTACATTTCTCTCTGTCATGAACTGCATACTTTGTTCCAAGTCATGTGGTCTGGAAAGTGGGCCTTGGTCTCACCATTTGCCATGCTGCACTCCGTGTGGAGACTAATTCCAGCTTTTCGTGGTTATGCCCAACAGGATGCTCAGGAATTTCTTTGTGAACTTTTGGATAAAATACAACATGAACTGGAGACAACTGGTACTAGGTTACCAGCTCTTATCCCTTCTTCTCAAAGGAAACTTATCAAACAGGTTCTGAATGTTGTGAATAATATTTTTCATGGACAACTTCTTAGTCAGGTATGGGGTTTTTTTTAAACTTATTTTCATCTTGGGAATTCATAAAATGAAGCCTAAAAATGCATTTTCTCTGTATTTCTAGTGTGTTAGAGCTAGTACTATTTTCACATCAAAATAGATTGCTTTTACAGAAGTCAGCTCACTCATTTACAGTGTTTCACTGATTTACATGTTTCCTTCATGAATCACTGGAAGTAGTTTTTCACCTATGGTATCAATGATTTTTTTTTTTTTTTTTTTGTGGGGAGAGGGAATCAGGAAACAGCTTCTTAGGTTGATAATATTAAATTCATTTTCTGAGGGATTGAGAAGAGAGGGTTTAACCCCACAGGGAATAGATTTGAAGATGCTGCTGCCCTGAGAATGGATTTTAGTAATTTCAGGAATGAAGAAGTAGCCCTGGAGGACTTTCTATAAAACCAAAGGGGGAAAAGCCTGAAAGCTTTAACAAATAGGTAGGGAAGTTTTAAAGTAAATAGACGTGATTTCATTGAGAATAATCCTAAATGGTTTTCCTTTATTTTAATTACAGCTATAAAAGTTTCCCTTGTGAAAAGGAATCACGAAACCAGAATCTTCCATCTAATTAATAGCTCTCTATAATGAGTGGACTTATTGGTAAACTATTACTAGACATAAGGCTCTCTACTTTTCCATCACACAGAGCTTAAAAATCTTTTGTTTTAGGCAGTTGGGCTGTACAGGTCCTTTCTTTCCCCTTGTACACCTGCCTCTGCTCCTCTGTTCTACTTTCACAGTAATGATACAATCTTTTGTCCTTATAGCGTACTTTTCTGGAATGTAGCTTAAATATATATATCTTTTTTCTTTTAAGATTTTTTTATTTGTTTGACAGAGAGAGAGAGACATCACAAGTAGGCAGAGAGGCAGGCAGAGAGAGAGGGGGGAGGAAGCAGGCTCCCTGCAGAGCAGAGAGCCCGACGCGGGGCTCGATCCCAGGACCCTGGGATCACGACCTGAGCCGAAGGCAGAGGCTTTAACCCACTGAGCCACCCAGGCGCCCCCATATTTTAAAAATTTTTTAAAGCTCTATGCCCAACGTGGGGCTCAAACTCACAACCCTGAAATCAAGAGTTGCATGCTCTACTGACTGAGCCAGCCAGGTGCCTTAAGTATTTCATGTGTAATTATTAGGGTTTATCTTTGATGTTTATTCCACTTAATGTTTCAGAAATGCAAAGTTCTACATTGTGCCATTTATCAGGTAAGACTTGTTTCTTGTGTTGCATGCAATTTTATTTTTCCACCACTTTTATCTAAAAGCTTAAAAAGCACCATTAATAGGAGAGCCTGGCTGGCTCAGTCAGTAGAACATGCAGCTCTTGATCCTTGAGGTGGTGAGTTCAAGTCCTATGTTGGGCCCAGAGCTTACTTTAAAACAAAGTTAAAATGCACTATTATAAACAGAAGTAATATATAGTCATAAAAACCCGAATGATATGGTAAGTCTACGTAGCAAAAGAAAAATCATCCCCTTATCCCATAACCCCACAACCCACACATAAAACTATTAATATTTTGGTATACTTTCTTCTAGGTTTTTTTTTCTTCTATACATTAAAATTTTTGTTTTTATTTTTATTTAAAGTTTTGTTTTTGTTGGGGCACCTGGGTGGCTCAGTGGGTTGAGCCTCTGCCTTTGGCTCAGGTCATGATCTCGGGGTCCTGGGATCGAGTCCCACATTGGGCTCTCTGCTCTGCAGGGAGCCTGCTTCCTCCTCTCTCTCTCTGCTTGCCTCTCTGCCCACTTGTGATCTCTGTCAAATAAATAAAATCTTAAAAAAAAAAAAGTTTTGTTTTTGTTTTTGTTTTTTAAGTAGGCTCCATGTGGAGCCCAACACGGGGCTTGAACTCATTGACCCTGCGATCAAGATCTGATCATGAGTCAGGCACTTTATGGGGCACCTGGGTGGCTCAGTGGGTTAAGCCTCTGCCTTCAACTCAGGTCATGATCTCAGGGTCCTGGGATCAAGCCCTGCACCAGGCTCTCTGCTCAGCCGGGAGCCTTCTTTCCCCTCTCTCTCTCTCTGCCTGCCTCTGCCTACTTGTGATCTCTATCATATAAATAAATAATCTAAAAAAAAAGGGGGGGGGCATTTTAACTGATTAAGCCACCCACGCAACCCTTTCTTTTGCACATTTTTTAAAAAATTTTGTTTATTTAAGAGAGGAAGAGAGAAAGAACTTAAGGAGGGGGAGTGGCAGAGGGAGAGGGAAAAGCAGATCCCCCACTGAGCAGGGAGCCCAAGAGAGGGCTCTATCTCAGGACCCTGGGATCATGACCTGAGCCAAAGTCAGATGCTAACTGACTGAGCCACCCAGGCACCCCTCTTCTGTACATTTTATATTTTCTCCTACTTGTGCAGTCATGATGAATTTACCTGCTTTTTTTTTCCCCCAAAGATTTTATTTATTTATTTGAGAGGGAGAGGATCAGAGAGAGAGCGAGCATGGGAAGGGGGAGGGTCAGAGGGAGAAGCAGACTCCCTGCCAAGCAGGGAGCCCCATGTGAGACTCATCCAGGCACTCCAGGATCATGACCTGAGCCGAAGGCAGTCACTTAACCAAGTAAGCCACCCAGGCACCCCAAATTTATCTTTTTTTTTTTTCATTTTTTCATTATTAAGGTAAAGGTTTTTCATAGTCATTAAGATATTTGATCATTTTTTTTAACAACATGTCAACGTCCATTATATGTATATACCATAATTTATTTACCCATTCCTGTATTGTTGACTTGTAAACTATTTCCAATTTTTCTGTTATTATAATGTCTCAATACATTTTCTTCTAATGATTTCACTAAGACAGAGTCCTAGAATTACTTTGTCAAAGGGTAGGACTTTTGATCCTTGGCTACAAATTTCTTTCCAGAAAGTTACAACTTCATATTTTGAATTGTGCAAGGATGCGTGTGAGAGTATGACATCATTTACATTAAATGTATTGTCTTTTGAAGTTATCAGTTGGTAGGGCTATATATAAAAATATACAAATAGTATTTTATTTGTATCACTGTTAAAAAGTTACAGGGATTTGGGGAGAGAAAATTAATGAAAGATAAGTAAGGAAAGGGGCACCTGGATGGCTCAGTGGCTTAAAGCCTCTGCCTTCTGCTCAGGTCATGATCTCAGGGTCCTGGGATCAAGCCCTACATTGACCTCCCTGTTCAGCGGGGAGCTTGCTTCTCCCTTTCCCTTTGCCTGCTGCTCCCCCTGCTTGTTATCTCCTCTCTCTCATTGACAAATATATCTTTTTAAAAAATAAATAAATAAAATAAACCCTACCAGTACTAGTGGGTTTAATGACAGTTATTGAAAGGAAAAATTATAATAATGAAAAAAAATCCCTGAAAATAATATGAAGCAGATTACTCAGAATTCTGACAGTGTATTTTCAGAAGAAAAGCTAATTTACAGCAGTGACTTCTATAGTGAAGGGAGTAAATATTTTGATAGGATTGTAATCTGAGAAACTAATATTTTTATTTGCAGGTTACATGTCTTGCATGTGAAAACAAATCAAATACCATAGAACCTTTCTGGGACTTATCACTGGAATTTCCAGAAAGATACCAATGCAATGGAAAAGATATTGCTTCCCAGCCATGTCTGGTTACTGAAATGCTGGCCAAATTCACAGAAACTGAAGCTTTAGAAGGAAAAATCTACATATGTGACCACTGTAACTGTAAGTAGAGACTGTATGTTCTCTTTGCTTTTCTAAGATTAACAAGGATAACACAAATGAGAGGAAGCTGAAAGAAATTCCTGAAGTAGCAGTTCTGGAAATAACTGTTATTTTGTTAGTTCATCAAAAGAAACTGGGATAGATATTTCTACTTTATAACTGGCATTTGTGAACTATGTGTTTTGCATTATTGGTGACGTTAAATTTTTTTTTTGATCCCATAGTCAAATATGGAGGGAAAGGATTCATGAAATAAGAAATCTGAACTTAATATGTGAGGTAGAATAAAGTAGCGATGAGGACTAGTAAAAGGAAAACGCATTATTTAGTACTAAGTAAAATGCTTTAAGAGTCTTTTTGCTACATATCAGAACATTGATGTATAGATAATATATGTATATAAGTGTGTATGCATACCTATACAATAGGAAATACATAGCTGGACTACTGCTATAGAGATAGGCTTCATAAAAACAAAGATTTAGTAAAAAACCATCTACTGACTATCTCTTCTATATTATTCATTGTTCTAATTGCTTTGGATAGAAGTAAAACACTTTCAAGGTGCTCACATATGTAATGGAAGAAATCAACAATTAAGATCTATTATGAGAAATTCTCTCTGAGAGAGCCCCTCCCCCCCAGCATTGGGGAATGAAATAATCCTTTCAGTTAAAGGGAAGCGTCATTCTTCAGGGAAATTGTGTATAAAACATCACAGAGCTGCTGTATCTTTTTCTGGTGTCTTTATCTTCTCTATCAATGTGTGTGTGGTATCTTAGTGTTTATGCTATACATTTTTAGGTATTCTCTCTAATTTCCATGTTTGAAAAATATGATCTTAGGGTTTTAGATACTAAACTTCTAAGATAATATAAAAGATGTATTGGATAGTTCAGCATTGAAGAAATGTCACATCAGTTGATGGTTTTTTTAGAATAACTTATATGAACATTTTCTGAGTGCTATCTAATATGAACTCTGTGATAAATAGCCTAGGATTTATAAGGTTTGAAAAAAAGTGAACCTTTATCAAATTCAAATGGTGACGTACTTTTTTGCTTGGACATAAATGTGAATGGTCCTAGATGCTTTCATCCACCAAATCTGGGAATAGAAAGATATCATGAACAAATGCAGAATACGGTTTTATAACATTTTTGTGTGTGTTTACTGGGTCTCTCAAAGTCCTAAAAGAGCTGCTGTAATTTAATATATAAAGGCAGATGTTTAAAATTATAAGTCAGGGAGTTGATATCACTTTTTTAAAAAATTTTTATTTATTTATTCATGAGAGACTGAGAGAGAGGCAGAGGGAGAAGCAGGCTCCCCACTGAGCAGGGACCCTGATGTGGGGCTCAACCCCAGGACCACAGGATCGTGACCTGAGCCGAAGGCAGACACTTAACCATCTGAGCCAACCTGGCGCCCTGGTATCACTTATCTAGCTATATGTGAGCCGTGTATTCAGGGAGATGATCCAAAAGTAGGTACAGGACATTCAGCAGCACTGGATAGCTGGATCTCAGGGATAGAGACCTAGAGGACAGGCCACCTGTGGCAAATGTAGACAGCTTACAGGACAGCCTCGTGGGGGCTGGTTCCACCACCTGCGTGAGAAGCAGCTGGTGCTGTGGCTTGAGTCAGAGCTGTTGTATCAGTTGAAGGACAGCTCCTGGGTATCCGGAGCAAACTCTAGTGGATAGTGGCACAGCCAGAAGCTGCAGGCACAATTCATGGGTGGACCTCCAGAGAAGCAGAAGAGACAACAAAAAGAATCCTAAGTGCTGCTTGTTTAAGATCTGGTACCAAAATAGCAAAAGCAAGACACTGAGGGAGGCCTTAGGCTCAGAGCTGGAAGAGGACTGCTCTGTCAGAAAGTGGGGAAGGATGTTCTGAACTAGTAAGGACCCCACCCCGGCATTCCAGTTAGCCTCAGTAGATGAACTGTGATGCTTTTTTAAATTAAGAATTTGAGAAGAGTATATTAAAGTATGTTTAGGGACAGTTTTAACTTATCCTCTAATTGGCATAGCCAAATCCATTTTAAAATATTATAGCACTAGATCATTCTTTTGCCTTATTTGTAAGAGTATATTAAATCAGGTGCTTAATTGTTTACATGTCTGTCTGCCTGACTAGCTCTTAAATTGTGTGCCTCTAAGTTTTTTGTGAGGCCATGTCTTTATCTGTACCACAATACAATACCTGTAACAGAGAAAATGTTTAATAATACATGTCTAAAGTGCTTAAAGTTTACTCAATATTTCCTTTTATCTTTAAATTTGATTCTCATTCTGTCTTTGATATCACAGCAAAGCGTAGAAGGTTTTCTTCAAAATCAGTTGTACTCACAGAAGCACAAAAACAGCTTATGATTTGCCACCTACCTCAAGTTCTCAGACTACATCTCAAACGATTCAGGTTAGTAGTAGTAGTATTCCAAATACACACTTCTTTTGTATGTTGGTTTGTTTGCTTTAAATATTTTTTTGTTTTTAAGTAATCTCTATACTCAGTTTGGGGCTTGAACTTACAGCCCCAAGATCAAGTCTTATGCTCTACTAACTGAGCCAGCCAGTCAGTCACCCCTCCAAATACACACTCTGAAGTTAATCATTCCTTGTGCTTATAGTATTTCAAAATTTAACACATGTGATGAATCAGATGTTAATAGTATATACTTGGCTAGTAGATGACTTCACATCTATCTACTTTTGTGTTTTTTAATTTTTTTTTTAAAGATTTTATTTATTTGGCAGACAGAGATCACAAGTAGGCAGAGAGGCAGGTAGAGAGAGAGAGGGGAAGCAGGCTCCCTGCCGAGCAGAGAGCCTGATGTGGGGCTCGATCCCAGGACCCTGAGATCATGACCTGAGCCGAAGACAGAGGCTTAACCCACTGAGCCACCCAGGTGCCCCTACTTTTGTGTTTTTTTAAAGATAAAAAAAAATGTTGTCATTATCTCTAGCCTTAATCAATAGACACCATTTTCAGTAACTAAGCGTCTGGTTAGTTTCCCTTGTAGAATGCATCGCCAATGAGTAGACCCTTCACATTTTGGTCTGTAATATTATTCTTGTAAGCTTCTGCTTACAGAGTTTAATATTCAACATGTTTTAGGTATAAAAGTTTTAAATTCATAACTTGAGTATTTGACCCAATTGCCTCATTCTTGGAAAATATCTAAGGTATAGCAGTTCAATTCAGAGCAGTTAACAAAAACAAAAACAAAAAAGACTGTAGAGTTCAGAAATACATTTAGTCAGACAAATTACTTTGCAAAACTGTTGGTTAAGCAAAGCATATGGTTTCATACTTCGCAATAACCATGTTAACCTTAGAGCTTGTTCTTAAGTTACTTTATGTGTGATGATTTGAAAACTTTCGAGACTATTATGTTTTTCATACATATTGGTTTTTGGCTTGTTTAAAGTTTTGTGTGTGTGTGTGTTTAAGATTATATTTATTTTTTGAGAGACTGAGTGAGCAAGAGAGAGAGCACACATGAGCCAGGGCAGAGGGAGAGGGAGAAGCAGGCTCCCCTGCTGAGAAGGGAGCCTGCTTGACCCCAGAACTCTAAAATCATGACCTGAGCCCAAGGGAGGCACTTAACTGAGCCACCCAGGCTCCCCTTAAAGTTTTTCTTTTTTTTAAATAATTAAAATAATACATGTTTTTTAAAACAATCCAAACTTGGGGCACCTGGGTGGCTCAGTGGGTTAAAGCTTCTGTCCTGGGATCGAGTCCCCTGAGATCGAGCCCCACATCAGGCTCTCTGCTCAGCAGGGAGCCTGCTTCCTCCCTCTCTGCCTGCCTCCCTGCCTGCCTGCTTGTGATCTCTACCCCTACCAAATAAATAAATAAAATATTTTAAAACAATCCAAACTTTGCAGAAGGTAAAGTAAAAGTCCAGTACCTCTTTCTTCTCAACCCCACTTCCCAGTTATTTCAGTTACTTATGGAAGCTGTTAAAGATATAGTCAACAAGTAACATGTGAGTGCTGTTAAATGCAAGATGTTCTATATTCCTTGTGGAATATAAAGTAGGAGTCTTTCCTCAAGATTATAGTCAGGCATGCACAGAAATAGTAGTGAAATAGAAATACTATGGGGACACCTGGCTGGCTCAGTTGGTAGAGTATACGACTCATAATCTCAGGGTTGAGAGTTCAAGCCCCATGTTGTGCATGGAGCCTCGTTAAAATTTTTTAAAAATTAAAAAGAAAAAAGAAAAATGCTAAGTATCACAAGTTATATACAAATTGATTTATCAGAGATTTGGAAGAGGGAGTTAGCTGATGTCTAAATGTTCCCAAAGTCTGATGGCATAGGGGTCTTTGTGTCATTCAAGTCTCAGTTCATATGTCCATTCCTTTTTTTTTTTTAATATATTTATTTATTTGACAGCAGGAGGGATTATAATTAGGAAGAGAGGCAGACAGAGAGAGGGGGAAAGCAGGCTCCCCACTGGGCAGGAAACCCGATATGGGGCTCGATCCCAGGACCCCGAGACCATGACCCAAGCTGAAGGCAGAGGCTTAAGCCACTGAGCCACCCAGGCGCCCCCATATGTCCATTCTTAAGAGCACACTTCCCCAACCGTCCTATTTAAAAATAGCACCACCCAACCCTCATTATCACATTACCCCATTTTTGCATAAATGGCAAAACCCACTACCTGCAATCTGTAGTTTATTTACTTACCCCTCTCCCTCTGGCAGTGGAACAAGAGCTCGGTAATGACAGGGACCTTGTCTATGCCTGTGTCTCAAGGCCCAGAACCAAGTTCTGTGCATAGTAGTTGCCCCAAAATATTTATTAAGTGAATTAATGGGGCATATTCAGGAGGAGGAGCACTTTAGCCTAAGGGAGTAACATGAAGTATGGAGGAAGAACAGGGAAGGGTATACAAAAAAGGTTTAGTGAAATCAGGTGAGACCTGCCACTGTGCATTAATACAAGTGGAATAAAAACAAGAAGATTAGTTAGGAGGTTAATATTGTAGTCCATGACCAGGTAAGAAGGGCCAGGGAGCATGGAGAAGTAAGAGCATAAACGAGATTCTGTAAAGACAGAACTGAAAAGACTTAAATTTTGGTTACTTAAATTTGTGCTGAATTGGCTATGATACTGTTGAAGAACTTCCTGTTCTTCCTAATTGCAGCTTTAATCTGGTATTTTAAGCTCTTGTTTGAGTTAAACTTATTTGACCCTATCTCTGTCCTTTGCCCAAAACATTTTTGACCCTTCATGCCATGTTTATTTCTGATTCAGAGATTTTGTTTATGCTGCCTTTACCACATTTATCTTTCTCCTTTTTCTTCATCTGTTCAAAAGCACCATTGTATTTGCCAATGTATAAAATATATCGGATATATAAAATATAAAAGGGAAAATGGGATAGGGGAGGGGTATAGAGGAGCCTCTGAAAAAGCGTAAGAAATGGAACATTTCTGGTATCTTAGACACTCCCCATGTGTGCCTCCCAGTTCAATGCTCTCCCTTCTCTTTGAAGCAAACTACTATGAACTTGGGGTATAGTGTTATCTTGTTATCATTTTACTGTATTTCCATCAGCAGAAAAGAAACTGGGTACCCAATTTAATCAATAGGAATGAGTATTGTCTATTTAGATGGATTATCATCTAAATGATATTTATTTAGCATTATTTAGCATTAAATAATGTAAAGTTTGAATGATATGGTAAACTAAAAGAATCTTTTGAATGATAGGAATTATAGGAACTTGTGTTAAGCAAGTCCCATTTTTTTATATGCTTGGTCTTCCATGTTGACTACTTAACAGGTGCATTGAATATAGGATCTTATACATTTCATGGGAGAAGTTTTGGGATATGACTCTGACTCCCACCAGATAATTTAATTTGCAAGTCTCATCTTTAGTTCCACACAATTTTATAGTGTGCTAATAGTATTTTCACATATTTCTGCTTCACAAAACCTATCTTCCTTTCTCCTTCTCTGCTTACTATTGTCATAACCTCATGTTTTAGTACTTTAATGCTATCATATTTTCATCTGTGTCTGTCTTTTGGCTCTGTACCACTGTAAACCAAGCTTCATTACAGTTTCTAGAACAACACATTATTTTCCCCTGTAGCACCAGCTCATACTGTGTGCGTGATAAAAACATTGTTTGCTGTGCTTGGTTCAATAAGAGGAAGCATGACCAACAGACTGAGAAAATGACAGTACAGAGGCATTATTTGAGTTCTATCCCTAATGAGTGTTGTGCTGACTTACAGGGAAGGGTTACAGTTCCTATTTTTTTCTTAGAAGAGCTCTAAAGTGTTCCAAAGAATTAGAGGTGCCTGTTTTTTGTTCTGCTTTTTCCATATACCTGGCCAGGAAAGGTCCAGGTTTTGTCTCCCAAGAACAAATTCTAGATTCTGGAGTATCTTCCACATGGTGTGACAAGGCAAGAGAGAATTAAAAACCCTTTGGTACCCTGAATTAGTCTATTAGAAGGGGGCAACTGCTACTAGGCCATAATTTCCTTTGCTGAAAGCTGATTTACTTCCACTATCAATTAACTGCAGAAGACAAATATTCTAAAACCTGACCAGACCTGTTAAATGAACCTAAATTTTTCCATTTATAGCCAACTTCAGTGCTGAAAGGATTTTATATTTACATTATTTTACATATGACACTTTGTATTCTATATTGAGGCCTTTTATTATGACTGTCTGAACCTAGTACATGGTTATATTCCCTTGACTTTTTTTTATTTTACCCTGGTTTGTTCACAGGTGGTCAGGACGTAATAACCGAGAGAAAATTGGTGTTCATGTTGGCTTTGAAGAAATCTTAAACATGGAGCCTTATTGCTGCAGGGAATCCCTGAAATCCCTCAGACCAGAATGTTTTATCTATGATTTATCTGCTGTAGTAATGCACCATGGGAAAGGATTTGGCTCAGGACACTACACTGCCTACTGCTATAATTCTGAAGGAGGTATATAGATGGGGAAAGTATTTTATTTTGGGTCACACCTGGAAACTGGTATTCAGGCTTTACAATTTCTAAATTGGCCACTAATCATCTTCAGTGAAGCCACTTGACCTTTTTTTTTTTTTAACAATACTTTTTTTTGTTTTGTTTTGTTTTATTGATTTATTTAACAGACAGAGATCACAAGTAGGCAGAGAGGCAGGCAGAGAGAGAGGAAGAGAAGCAGGCTCCCTGCTGAGCAGACAGCCCGATGCATGGCTCCATCCCCAGGACCCTGGGATGACCTGAGCAGAAGGCAGAGGCAACCCACTGAGCCACCCCGGCACCCCTGACCCTTTTTTTTCAATAATACTTCTGCATTTCTTAAAAAACAAAAAGAAATCAAGGATTTGTGCAGAAAATGGAATATTTTCTGCAGGATTATAGTAGCTTTGACTTTCAGAGGCTGTAGCAATAGGATAATAAGGATGGTCACATTAGTTAAAAGTCATTTTGCTATCTTATAAGCGTATTTGTAAGGACAAGTCCTCTGTCTACTGGTTCCATCTTGTTAATTTTGTTAGAGAACAGAGCATTAATGAACTGGGGATCACAGATATTTAGAACAAACTCTGAGTTCAGGTTTTCTTTTTTATTTTTTAAAGATTTTGTTTATTTGAGGGAGAGAGAGAGGGAGGGGGCAGAAAGGATGGGGGGAGGGGCAGAGGGAGAGAGAGAAGCAGACTCCCCATTGAGCAGAGAGCCTGACACAGGGCTGGATCCCAGGACCCTGGCATCATGACATGAGCCAGAGGCAGACGCTTCACCACCTGAGCCACCCAGGCACCCCGAGTTCAGGTTTTAAAACTCACTTTCACTTACTGCCTCCATGGACCCTCAAGGACAGTCTTCATAGGTGGCAAAATTGACTTAGGTTTCACTTTTTATTTCCCCTTCCTTCAACTACTACTGAACGAGGACTGAGCCTCCCCATTCATACCATTCCCCCTCACCCAAAAAAAAGATGGAGAAAAAGCCCACATAATCCACGAATGCAATTAATTTAACAGTAAACTACCAAGAGTGAGTTGCACACTGTTTGCTTTACAGTATGATTAGCAGCAAAAGCATTAACTGGTCGGATTATACCTAGAATTAAAGATAGTGTCAAGTGAACTAATAAGATTTTTTAACTTCAGATTACTTCTAGAATACAGGTAGATGATTCCAGAATAACATACTGCCAAGCTATATTTCTCATTAATAGAAATGAATTGGCTGATTATTTTCCCTTCAAAGAAACATAACTCTCATTGAGACCATAATGCCTTTAAATCCATTTTAATTTATATTAGAAACTTCTAAAAAGTTATTTTATAAACATTAAGGTATATTTCTGTGCTTCACTCTAGGGTTCTGGGTACACTGCAATGATTCCAAGCTAAGCATGTGCACTATGGATGAAGTATGCAAGGCCCAAGCTTATATCTTGTTTTATACCCAGCGAGTTACTGAGAATGGACATTCTAAACTCTTGCCTCCAGAATTCCTGTCTGGTAGCCAACATCCCAATGAAGAAGCTGATACCTCTTCTAATGAAATCCTTAGCTGATCCAAAGACAGTGGGGCTTTCTTCTTGCGATTTTATATATACTTTTTAAAAGGGCTTACAATTTGGAGTTTCATTGTTTTTTTACTTAGGAATCAGTGCACTGTTTATACATTTTGTATCTACAACAAAACTCCTTTTACAGAAACAAGATTAGCATAAATATGTGTATCAATGACAGCAAGCAGGTAACTAAACTTTTTTCAAGTACTTGGGAGTTTTAAACTTTGTGTTTACTTCAGACTAGCATTACCTCTTTTTTATTTTGATGTCTTAATTGGCTCAGATCATGAATTTGTGCAATCTTTTACCGAAATTCAGGTGGCATTTTATACATTTATTTATCTTTTATAGGCATTTTCTATACAAATTCTTATTAGATGGAAAATTAGATACTTTCTTTACTAATAGTCATACCAAAAAAAAAATTTCTTTCAGGCCATCTGTTGCTGAAGTTATCTTTGCCATTTGAAGGGAGTTAAACTACTACTGTGAAATATCAAGGTATCACCTAAATAATCATCAATCACACTAATTTATATTCCTGAGGCTTTGTGTGTTACAGGGCTCAGAATAGACATTACTTTGGTGAACGGAACTTCCATTTTTCCAAAAATTTATTAAGTTTTAATAATTGTTCTTTATTTGGCATAGTCCAAAATGAAAATGACAGCTTTATAAATAGTATATTTAAATTACTTCAGTACTGTGGACATGAAAACAATGATGGCTGGGACTTACAATGATGATTTGTTTGGCAGCAAACAGGTTTGTCCAGATTCTAAATAAACAGTCTTATCAAAAATCTGAATTCAGCAGTGTATTATGATATACAAGTACAGTTTAACGTGAATAAGTTCATTTTATATGTTTAACATTAGATCTCTTAAAAGCTTTGTACCATATCGTATCAAGATTTTTGAGGGAAAAAAATTGTCTTCTTGAAGAGAAAAAAAATTGGCAACTGAGCAACATGTTCAGCATCTTATATTTCTAAATAGCTAAAGGCTTGGATAAGTTTTGCTCCTATTATGTGAAGATTAGGAGCCTCAGATACTCAAACACTGGGCCCTTACTTTTTTAATTAAAAATTATCTAAACTTGCATCTTATTAAAAAAATACAGTATGAAAATTCTGCTCTTAATAATCTTACTAGATTTCTTCAAAATCCAACTGCTGGTAACTCTTCACTAACCTCTATAGATCAGCTATTTAACATCTTAGCTCAGGGTTAACCACTGGAAGATTTTTTCCTTTTTTAAGAGGGTTTCCCTACAGGTTGAAATCTCAGTGAAAGATAATATCCTGTGGAATGCTGTTCTCTGCTACTGATCATCTATTAAGTATAAGCTTGAAAAGGACCTCTATTAGTAAATTTTACTTAAATTTCAGAGAACGGGTCATTGGGGCAGCTGATCATGAAGTGCAATGAGAATTTATCTCTGAACAGACAAATCATTTATGCCAAAAATACAGCTTCAGTATTAAATGGCTAAAGTTTAAAATCACTCATTTAAATACCTATGCAAGTTGTTACCTCAACTGTTAATGTAATTATACCTCATTAAAAATTTATGTGGTCAAGATACTAGAGTCTAGCCTCTTTTAATTTCAAGGATTACTTTATATTTGGGTTAGCTGCTGTATACTTTTGCACCTAATTTTAGGGAGATTATTTTAAAAACCACTCTGGAAGCTTTGCTGTTTCTAATAGTATAGGTTGCTTGTTTCAGTACTTAACTTCATTGTAAAAATATATGAGAGAAAGTCACTTAGCCTTTTACTTTAATCCCTCAAAACCAAAACCTTTGAGGGGAGGCTGTGTGTGTGTGGCCAAGGGGGTATATGGGAACTCCGTACTTTATGCTCAATTTTGGTACAAACGTAAAACTGATATAAAAAAAGTAAGTCTCTTAAATTTACAACAAAACTAAAACCTAGCCAATGAACAGAAACTTAGATTTCTTGTTCTATATCTCAGTGTAGACTTTACATTCAGCTAAGTTGATCTAACAAAAAACAACATGTTTTGGTTGTAAAATAATTTACTAAAGGCACTATTTGTTAAACATCAAACTAATTTGTTACCAGTAAGGTACATCATTGTAAACATGACAAAATGATTTCAAGAGATACATGGCTAGTAGGTAAACAATACAATTTTTTTAAGTGACAGCTTTCCTATTTACAAGATCATATTCCTTCCAGCTATTCCAGGGGCTTGCAGTGATGTTACTGCTCCCAGCAGTTACACAAGGGAGGGGGAGCTTGGAGCTCATAATGGGTTTGAGATCACTACTGCTAAAAAGGTCTTACAAAGCTCCAAAATTCTTCACTCATAAGGTCAATTGTAAAACTCTTTGAGCTTAGAAATCAAGGTACTTTCTGTCTCCCACCAAAACACATCAAGAAGGTGTGGACTCAGAACACCAAAAGAACTAGCTGGAGGCCCCAAGACCTGCAACATGCCCAAGCATGAATTGGTGAGCTCTGCCACTAGGCACATCACAGAAAATGGAGGAAATAATCCAAAAGTAGCTCTTGAACATTAGCACCATAATAAACATGGCTCATATAGCTAAAAACTAGATTGTTTATCCCATAAGATAACATTCATTTATAGCTCTAATGCTGAAAGAGCAGCTTTTTAATGTATAATAGATCTAAGTACAGAAGTCCGGTTTTTCTTCCTATGAGAAAAACATTAAACAAAATACAAACTAAACAGCATCCCAGAGGCAGTGAATCTTATTGTGCTAAAGCATATACAAATTAAGGCTTTACCTTGGTACATAAACAATTTGAAAATTATGTTGGAACATTCCCCAAAAATCAGTTACAAAGAATTCAAGCAATTTGTTCAAGAATCTGTAGTGGGACTCAGTTCAAGCAAGTATTCAGCATCTTACATTCAATTTATGCACTTAGCTGCCATAATGTTACCGTAATCTCACTCCCTGAAATGCCACCATAGTTTTGAATTCAAGCCAGTGCAGAGGGCAGGGTGTTAAAGTCATTTGGCTCACTAATGAAAAAGCCTAATGATGCAATTAAACTTTTCTAACTAGAGCACAATCCAAGTACAGGAAGTTTCCCTGTCTTAGTATTTGTAGTTTTAAATGCCCTTTTGGTCTACTGAGTAAGCTGAATACATTTCCTGGTAAGTACTACCACTGGACAAAGGATCTGTATGTTGAGATTTTACTAAATCAAGGTTTCGAGCTGGTATAATGTTCCTACTAGCATGTTTCAATTAATCTTTCCAATGTCAGGGAAAAAAAATGAAAGACAAAGATTAATATGGTTCTAAAAATAAAATAAAGGCAAACTATTCCTAAAGCTCTATATTAATTTCTGAAGATTCTCCCACTTTATGCACGTACAGAACTTGTTTTAGCCGCTCTATTGGAAGAAAAGTTTCAGTGTAGAGGTCTACAGTCAAGATAAAAGGCTCTACGTTTCCCTACGTGTTCAGCTACTTACGTTTAGCTAATTCCTGTGCACAATTATAACCACAGACATTGAAATATAGCTCTCAGATCTGAAAATGTCTTTATTTTTTAGAAAATGGATTCCAGGAAGGTTAAAAAGCAATACCAGAGGGTATAGGTGCAGAATTGGGTGTAGTCATTCAAAGCATTCAATTAAGAATATGGCAATATAAATATCTGAAAAGCATCTCTTAGGTGTTCAAACAAAAAATGTATAAGTCATTCCTAACTAATTTGAGCTTTATAGCATTTCCTAGATGGGAAAAAACAGTTAACATTTGAAAGTCTTGAAAGCTTTTTCCTTGGCTAATTACATTGGATGGTTTGCCTTCGATCAAATTCCTTCCTTTTTAAACATGGATAAAAGCATTACATAGGTCCACTGTTAAACAGACAACATGTTGCAAATTACTTCTGGTATAATGTATTCCAACAAAGCTTAGAAAATAAAAGATGTTGAGGCGACTTTGGACTAAGTTTAATAGTCATCTCCTCTGCTGACAACTTCTTTACACGTTGGACGCAACAGTATGGTATGTTCAAACTGTGCTGTGTATGATCCTTTAATGTCACATAATGGTGGATATGGATCTACAATGCCCAAGTCACACAGATTCTTCAAAGCCATCAAGTATTTACTTTCTCCCAAGCGATCCAGCCATCTGCGGCAGAAGGCAAGGGTGCCAAAGTTTTCATTGATGACATTCAACAAGTGTTTTGTTCTTGGAAGCCTAAGAAGAGAAAATCCAGAATTAAAGGTAGCTAAAAAGTTACCCATTAAGGAAAAAAAAAGTTTCCCCATTAAGGAAAACTTATACAGTAGATGTGGCTTTACTCAGTAATTCAAAAAATTTTTTGTTGCCTCTTTCAACATTCAAAAGTCAGAATGTGTAACAGCCCATACCTAATTATACATGGCAGCTGAATGGGAGACCTGCTGAAGGCTGTCTTATCATATGTGTCTATGTGCACGTGTGTTAATTTCCCCATAGAGACTCGTCAACAGTGCTATGATGGCAATTTCCTTTTCTGTGCATCAAGCTGAAAAGACCTGCACATAAAGGAGGTATAAATCCATCCTTCAACCATCTTCTCCAAAAAGGTTAAGGGGGAAAAAAAAGGTAAAAAAAGAAAGTTTACCAATAAGAAAATATTAAGAACAAAAACCTAGAAATGCTAGGGGTGCCTGGGTGGCTCAGTGGGTTAAGCCTCTGCCTTCGGCTAAGGTCATGGTCTCAGGGTCCTGGGATTGAGCCCCACATCGGGCTCTCTGCTCAGTAGGGAGCCTGCTTCCCCCTCTCTCTCTGCCTTCCTCTCTGCCTACTTGTGATCTCTCTCTCTCTCTCTCTCTAATAAATAAATAATCTTTAAACAACAACAACAAAAAACCAACCTAGAAATGCTAGCAAAATTATGACCTCTCAAATTACCATCGGAAACTGTATCTTAAGAGAATACCTGCCTATGTCGTTTTTATTGCAGTTACGATTTTTAACAGGCTAGTTTCTTTGCTGTATTATAAAAATCCACAAAACTTCCTGATAGGCTATAGAACTGTACACTTATGAATGTACCACTGTGGATATTTGTCAAATTTTTAAAAATGCTGCTAACTGGGAAAAGAAACATTAAAAACAACGGTCTCTCACCTGATTGGCACATGTCCAACATCGAAGTTTTTCATATAGTGTGAACATTCCATATCATCATGAACAACGCCTTTTCCTGTGCTTCCAAAGGTTTCAATGGCATACACTTCTCCTTCCTGAAGAATATGTAAGAGTCAGGGGAGAGAAGAAAAATCAAGAACTAATTAAATTGCTATCTGTTAACTTCAGCCTGAGGTATTATTTACTTCATGTAAGAAACAACATGAAATAACCCCGGTAGTCATTATCCACCCTTCCTGCTTTATCTCCTTAGCACTCTTTGGTCTTTCTGTGTCCTCCTATTAGAATGTAGCCTTTATGGGGCACCCAGGTGGCTCAGCTGGTGAAGTGTCTGACTCTTGATCTCAGGGCTGTGAATTCAAGCCCCGGACTGGGCTCCACACTGGGCATGGAGCCTACTTAAGAAAAAAGAATGTAGCCTTTACATGGGCAGGAATTTTATTTTGTTCACTATTGCATCCTTAGTGACTACTAAAGGGACTGACACCTAAGAGATGCCTAATAAGTGGTGAAAAAACCACCCTTTGGCTAGCCAACTTCCACATCTAACTGAGCCGTTGTCTGACCAGACACGATCTGCACATTCACATAGACCAATTCCTATTGGAGTACAGATGGCAAGTTAATTTTGCTCAACATACTATATACTCAACTACCACCAACTTTAGTTTGGAAAAAAATTAAAATGCTTCATAAAAAACACTATTAATGGCACACATACCTCCATTCTTGTTGCCTCTCCTCCTTTCACAATGGGCACTGTTTTCCCAGCGTGTATTCTATATGGCCCAATTGAATGTCCGTTTAGGTTACGGATTGGTTTCACTGGCGTAACAGGAAAAGACAGTTATTCAGGGCCTTCAGGAGCACAAACAGATCTCTCAGCTTTCTGGCACAGACTTCAAGTATTGACTTAAAAATAAGACACGGCTCTAC